CGTCGGGGGGGGGGCACAGTGGACATTTGCACCCCTCCCCCCCCCCCCTCTTTGGACGACCCAGCACTGTCCATAATCTGACCTCCAAGCAGCCCCACGCCTACAACACCTGGCAAGCCCTGGTGGCCACCACCCATACAAATACTAACCAGGCTCACACCTGCTTTGCTTCAGAGAACCAGGCGAGATCTGCCGTGGTAGCCACACACATTAATGTGGGTGTAGTACACTGATTTGAAGCTTTCGTGACTGCAGGAATCCATACTCTTTGGTTCTTTCGGTAAAGTCACGTCGGGATCAATAACACTGGTTAACACACTTTTTCCGGTATAAGGTATTCCAACGGTTTTAATGTAATTTTGGGGTGCTGATTCCAAATCTGGCATCAGTTTTTGTCTATCGCGTCAGGTTTTTGAGATATCAAATATTGCATTTTCAATAAAAACTGCAGAAGAAAAATATTAAATAAATGTGGATATCGACATAAAATTATATTATAAACACACTATCCTAAAAATACAGCACCATATTTTAACACTAAAGCAGTCACTGACTCGCAACAACTTGCAATCATAAGTGACAGAGTTAATTTCGGGTAAAATCAATGAAAATGGGGTATGCCGATAGCATGAAATGAGATGTGATAGAACAAATATGAGATCAGATTTGGAATCAGCACCCTGAAATTAGTCTAAAACAGCTGCAAAATTCCAGTGTTATTTTTTTCTACCTACGTGACTTTACCGAAAGAACCAAAGAGTATGTCGTACACTGGTTCAAAACTTTGATTTTTTGGGGATACATTGGGTTTTTTTTAATCTTTACTTTTCATGATCAAGCAATGGAACCTTGTTTGCACGTTTGAAACTCTGGTCTGATTCGCTTCAACAGCTGCCCCCCCCGAACTTGCGAGACTGAGTTACTAAATGAATGACCTTGGCCACTGAGAAAAACTGATGCTGTGGACATGTCCAGAAATATCCCTCTAATTGAGTACGTGTGTGTGTGTGTTATTGTGTGGGAAAGCCTGTAGCGTAGCGGTTAGCACGCTGCACTACGGACGCGACAACGCGAGGTCGATTACCGCTCACGGCCACCACCAGTGACGATTATCTGAACCGGTCCTGGTCCTCCCCTAGGTCCACTCAGCTTCAAAGTTAGTACATCGCCACTCGCGAGACAACGGCGGTCGGGTGTGGTGCTGGCCAGTCCACCACCTCGTACGGTCCTTCATAGGTGCCACTCGATAACCGCCCTTAACCCAACAGCCTGTTAAGGCTATACGGGGGATCTTTGTCTGCGTGAGTTATTGCACATGTGTGAACTGCCTGTTTACTTGGGAGTATATGTTTACGAGATGTGCTTTCCCCTAAACAGATTGGGGATTGTTATACGGAATTTAATCCACCCAACCACGTGCCCGGACACGCCCACATAATTACACACACATGGTCTCACACACACACACACTGAACGCTTCATATATATGGTGACAAAGATAAAGATCCCCCGTATAGCCTTAACAGACTGTAGGGGCAAGTGCTGTTAGCGAGCACCTATGAAGGCCGGAACGGTACACGAGGGGCTGGGTGGCCAGCACCACGCCCGACCGCCTTTGTCTCCCCAGTGGCGATGTTTACACACCGCACCGGGTACTCATTTCAGGCTGAGTCGACCTAGGGGAGGCCCAGGACCGGTTCAGATAATCGTCACTGGCGGTGTTGGCCATGAGCGGGAATCGAACCCGGGTCGCCAGGTACATAGCGCAGCGCGCTAACCGCTGCACTACCGCTCTCCACTCTCATCTCTCTTTATATATGGCGACACACACACACACAAACACACACCATGGACGCACACACACGCGCAAACTCAAGTGCACAAAGACAAAGCTACCCCGTATAGCCTCAACAGACTGTTGGGGCAAGTGCACGCTGCCGTCGGCCGGAACGGCACACGAAGGGGTGGGTTGCCGGCACCACGCCCGGTCACCTTTTTCTCCCCCAGTGTCGAAACTTACACACCACACCAGGCACTCATTTGAGGCTCAGTCGACCGAGGGGAGGCCCAGGACCGGCTCAGATAATCGTCACTGGTATTGGTGGCCGTGAGCGGGAGTCGAACTCGCGTCGCCGGCTTCGTAGCGTAGCGCGCTCAGGACTTTCGTAACCGCAACACACCACATATGCACCATGCACACGCACACCGTGGCATATTTCAGAATGTGATTGCTCAACATGTGTAACATTTAGCCGGGCGGTGCTGGCTCTGCAACGTGGTCTGCAATCCAGGACTGTAGAGCCGGCAGCGAGGGTTGGTGGGTCACGCACAAATGTTGTGAAACTCCCTTCCCTGTGAGCCTCGATGATGAGCCCATGACCCCTGGCTCGCCAGGAGAAAGCGGCACAGCAAAGTGTTGACCCCCCCCCCATCCGTTCCCAACTCGTAGGCGTGGGTTTTCGGCGCGTGCTCCGTTTTTCTCCCACGTATAAACACTCATTGATCGGCCGATAACACCTTAAATAATCTATACACTAAATTTCGATATAAAGCTTTCGTGACTGCAGGGATTCATCTTCTTGGTTCTTTCAGTAAAGTCACGTAGAAGGGAAATAATAAAATAATAAAAATAAAGCATAATAAAATTAATATATTATAAATAAATATATTATTTTATTATGTTTAACTTTTTTTATTTTATTATAATTATATTATTTTACTATGTTTTATTTCTATTATTTTATTATTTCCCTTCTACGTGACTTTACCGAAAGAACCAAGAAGATGAATCTATACACTGTACGAATACAGATGATTTAGTGGTGGTGATGCTATTGCTGCGTTGGCAGCGGTGCACAAGCACAACTACCATTACTCTTTGTTTTTTTCGGTAAAGTCACGTAGGTTAAAAGAAAACAAATAAATGAAATCACGACGTTTCGGAGGCAACACAAGCTTTCGTCTTCAGGTGAAACCGTCACAGCAAAATTGTTGTATCAATAAAATTGCTGTATCAATACAGCAATTTTGCTGTGACGGTTTCACCTGAAGACGGAAGCTTGTGTTGCCTCCGAAACGTCGTGATTTAATGTATTTGTATTCTTTTAACCTACGTGACTTTACCGACAAAAACAAAGAGTATGAATCCTTGCAGTCACGAAAGCTGCAAATCTAGAATTAAACAACTACCATTCATAGAGAGGTCAGAGAAGGCAGAGTAGAAATTAAATTGTCGTCAGGCCCTAAGGTGTAAAGAGCCGCTTCCAAACTCTCATCTCTCTTTATCTCTGGCCTCTCGATGCGCCATGAAGAAGGACCGTTTGCCGAAACGTCGCCTTGCGTACCATTTTCTTTGTAAGGACACGGTGTTGTTTAAGAACGTGTTGAGTTGCATTCTGTGTAGATATGTGCACGTGAACATTTCGCCGTGGGTTTTTTTTGCGACAGCAAATTACGTTAGTTCCACTGGGATGGTGGCTCCCTCTACTGTGAATGAGTTCGTTTTGCGCAGGGATTAATTTCTCACGAAATTATATCAATATTTCTTATCCCTCCCCTCTCCCCCCCGGGAGGTATATTTTTCCGGAGCTGCCGCACAACGTGTTTGGAATCGACGGGAGTAAAGTTGGACTTACGAACAAATCGACTTACGAACATACCGCTGGAACCTAACTCGTTCGTAAGTAGAGGAGGCACAGTAACACATTGTCCTGCGGAGGGAGCTGGTAGGAACGTTGGGTTGCTCGGTCAATGGGCAGAATGTATTCCGCAAATATGCCCGACTGTGAGGGCGGGCACAAGCCGGCGTGAGTAGGTTAAACGTTGAGTTTTATAAGGGCACCACGGGGTGACCAGCCCCTCCCCACCCAGCCCCCACCCAGCCCCTCCCCACCCAGCCCCCACCCAGCCCCACCCTCCCCACCCAGCCCCTCCCCACCCATCCCACCCCCCACCCAGCCCAACCATCCCCACCAGCCCCTCCCCACCCTCTCCACCCAGACACAATGGCAATCATAATCACGATATTCGTGGTTCTTTCGGTAAAGTCACGTAGAAGGGAAACAATAAAATAATAAAAATATAAAACAATGCAATTCTCACTTTTTTTCAAATGTTCTTGCTGTGTTTTTCACACCTGATGATCATTGCTTGTGTTGCAGTCGAAACGTCGTGAGCATTTTATTGTTTTATATTTTTATTTTATTGTTTCCCTTCTACGTGACTTTACCGAAAGAACCAAGAATATGAATCTCTGCAGTCACGAAAGCTTTAAATCGATAATCACGATGTCACGGTATTTTGAAAGACGGACGATACGATGATAGTGGATCGTATACTCTACGATATATATCGTGTACTCTACTACGATATACCGTGACTCTACGATATATCGTGTGCTCTACGATATATCGTGTACTCTACAACGATATATCGTGTGCTCTACGATATATCGTGTACTCTACAACGATATATCGTGTACTCTACAACGATATATCGTGTACTCTACAACGATATATCGTGTGCTCTACTACGATATATTGTATACTCTACGATATATCGTGTACTCCACGATATATCGTATACTCTACTACGATATATCGTGTACACCACGATATATCGTGTACTCTACTACGATATATCGTGACTCTACGATATATCGTGTACTCTACGATATATCGTATACTCTACCACGACATATCGTGTACTCTACGATATATCGAGTGCTCTACGATATATCGTAGTATCGCGACAATCCTGGTGTGGCTAACCCCCCCCCCCCCCCCAGTCTTACAAAACATCTGAACCAGAGTGGAAGAGTAGGCCAAATACCCTCTAGGGCAGCATCTAGTGGAGACCAACAGCAGATAGAATCGATCCATTGTTTAAAGCCGGTGATTAGTGAAACGATTCCCTTCGTCGTTCAATTGATACAGTCGGAATCTAAGATGCATTAGAAAATCGATTCTAGTCGGATCGTTACCAGCCTTTTATGAATCGATTCCACTACCCGGGCCGTCACTCTTTGGAGCCAAGGTCCCTCTGATCTGTGTGAGCTGCTTTCTCGTCACGCGAGTAACGTTCACATCATTGCCGCGTGTTTATAATAGTCCGCCAATGTTGTACAACTCGCGCCGTGTCTACAATGTTTGAATGTCTGAATAAATCTAAATGCGTGCCGTGTTCATCGGTCTCGTGCTCGTTTGCTTGGATTTCCTGCGGGAAGCCTGGCGCTAGGCCTCGGCTCGCGAATGGCCGCGTGAAGGCGGTGGCTGGTGGTGGTTGTGTGCCAATTATCTCATACAAACTCTTGGTTCTTTCGGTAAAATCACGACACTGACGCCTGCTGCTGTATATTTGGAGTTTGCGTCTCATCATCATCACGGCGGCTAGGAGATGTTAACTACCTCGCCTGGTGTACAGGAGGTTGTGGGTTGGACCCCGACCCTGACGCCTGCTGCTGTATATTTGGAGTTTGCGTGTCTCTCATCATCATCACGGTGGCTAGGAGATGTTAACTACCTCGCCTGGTATGCAGGAGGTCGTGGGTTCGATCCCGACCCTGACGCCTGCTGCTGTATATTTGGAGTTTGCGTGTCTCTCATCATCATCACGGTGGCTAGGAGATGTTAACTACCTCGCCTGGTGTGCAGGAGGTCGTGGGTTCGATCCCGACCCTGACGCCTGCTGCCGCTGTATATTTGGAGTTTGCGTGTCTCTCTCTCATCATCATCACGGTGGCTAGGAGATGTTGACTACCTCGCCTGGTATGCAGGAGGTCGTGGGTTCGATCCCGACCCTGACGCCTGCTGCTGTATATTTGGAGTTTGCATGTCTCTCTCTCCGTGGTCGCGTGGATTTTTCTCCAGTTCCCCCGGTTTTTTCCCCTCCAAATTTAGAATCATGCGTTTAGAGTATTTGGCTGCAATAAATAAGCCACATCGCTTCTGAAAAATAGGTATATAGCTCACTGGCCTTGACCTGGTAAAATTGAAAATCTTATTTTAATTTAGTCTTCTGCCCACTTTTCTCAACAGTCAATATGATGTCTCAAACTTGTACGTATTCCCTCATTCATGTGTTCCTATTGCTGTCTCTGTAATTGCAAGCGTACACCTCCGCTTCTTTTGAGCACTGTTCAGCTTGTGTTCCATTTGCTATGCCAACGGCCACGTTTCTGATCCATCTCATTGCAGTCGTGTATATACTGAAGTCCTGATTTGTCGCAGTAGACCCTTGGTATTGTAGGTTGAGCTTGTATTCATTGACCCAGGTCACTCTTCCATCAGAGTACCTTTAGAAAACACATTCCTGTGGAGGGAGCTGGTAGGAACGTTGGGTTGCTCGTTAAATGGCCAGGGTCAAAGGCGGCGTGATGTATTCCGCAAATATGGCCGACTGTGAGGGCGGGCACAAGCCGGTGTGAGTAGGTTAAACGTTGAGTTTTATAAGGGCACCACGGGGTGACCAGCCCCTCCCCACCCAGCCCCACCCCTCCCACCAAAAACCCAGCCCCACCCTCCCCACCCAGCCCCTCCCTCCCCCACCCTCCCCACCCAGCCCCTCTCCACCCTCCCCTCCCCACCCAGCCCCACCCTCCTCACTTAGCCCCTCCCCACCCTCCTCTCCCCACCCAGCCCCTCCCTCCCCACCCAGCCCCTCCCTGCACGACGGACGGACGGACACAATAATTCCCTGTGGGCTGGTGGAACCAGGAGGTTCCTACCAGTATAAAGTTAATGGTTATCTTCACTTGAACAAGGTACCAGCTCATTGAGATGAAACACCACCTTGTAATTAAGATAAAGCTTGCATTCTCTCAGGAAGAAATAGCTGGCACGATGTTTTACAATACCAACGGGCATATAGATGTTTTCAAACAATCCATTTAAAATTGCAGCCACTTTAATCTACCAATGGATGAAGTCCTCCTCATTAAATGTTAATTATGAGTTTTATTTTACCATACTTCACCATGCTGGTCATGGCAAGTCAGTCAGAGTGGGAAGCAGCAGGACCGGTTCTGACAAAAATTATTACTAATTTAAGCCAGGAATCAAACGTAGCTTGCCAGGTCCGTAGTGCCACGTGTTCACCACTGTGCCGACCGCTGCTCCACCATTGCCTCGTGATGAACATTTTGCTCCTTGTTCCCACAGCTGAGACGATGTCTGCCACTCAGCCGCCCGGCAGCGACGCTCAAACCGGAAAGGCCGACAAAGCTGAACCCGAGGCAAAGACGAAAAGCGACAGGTTTTCGCGAGTGCCGGGTCTTCGCGGGGTGCAAACCACGACGCTATTCCGAGCCATTAACCCAGAGCTCTTCATAAAACCGGTAAGCGCGCTGTAATGCAGTCTCGTTCAGACGATGTTTTCCGTTTTGTTGTCAAACCTTTTCCCATCCACGTTCAATGCACTTTTCAATGCATTAACCATTACCGTGCGAGTTAATACATTAAACATAAGTGGTGACGTTAATTTAATCATTGCACTTTAATCTTTTTTGTGGAATGATTATGGTTAATGATGAAAATTATGTATGCGGCCACCTATTAATAACACTGGTCAACAAAAAAAAAAATTCTGGCCTGGATTTTTGCAGCTGTTTTAGACTAATTTCAGGGTGCTGATTCCAAATCTGATCTCAGATTTGCTCTATCACATAATTTTTATGCTATCGGCATACCCCATTTTCATTGATTTTACCCGAAATTAACTCTGTCACTTATGATTGCAAGTTGTTGCGAGTCAGTGACTGCTTTAGTGTTAAAATATGGTGCTGTATTTTTAGGATAGTTGTTTATAATATCATTTTATGTAGATATCCACATTTATTTAATATTTTTCTTCTGCAGTTTTTATTGAAAATGCAATATTTGATATCTAAAAACCTGATGTGATAGACAAAAACTGATGCCAGATTTGGAATCAGCACCCCAAAATTACCTTAAAACCGTTGGAATACCTTATGCCAGAAAAAGTGTGTTGACCAGTGTAATGTACCAGCATGGCTTCATTTCAGCTGGAGTAGTCTGAAATGCTGTTCCAGGAATTATTTTGGCATGCCACAGCCATCTCTGATTATTTTGTCCTCTTGATACTGCTTAATTTGTCTTAACCTATTCTTCGAGTTTATAGGAATATATGCTACAGCAATATAGTTGTGTTATGGATATGTGCACCTTGTACTCCCGCGGTAGTGCATTGCTCCATTAATCCCTACTACCAACCGAGGTCCGAGCAGTTTTCCGGATAATATCGAGTGAGAAATTAATCCCCTGTGTGCCTTGGTAGCGCAGCCATGTGCAGGCAGTCTGCGCAATCCACCTACCTCTCACCTCCAAAGCGCTAGATTTTGCGCGTGTGCTGCACACCAAGCTCATCGTGTAACCTCTTACCACTTTCCTCTTCTCCCCATCCCTCCACCCCATCGCCGGACAGAACCGCTACGTGATGGCGTTTGGGCTCGTCACGATGTCCATGTGCGTCGCGTACTTGGCGTACATGCGCGCCGAGTACGCAAACTCGCAAGCGGAGGAGCAGCAGATGAACCCCGGGAGGAGAAGAACGCGATGGGACTGATGGATCCTTCCACAACAACGAGGAGATGTTTTGCCCCCACTGTTTGGAACTGTGCTTCCCACAGCCCTCTGTGCTGTTGACTCGCTGCCCCTGTTCAAGTTACAGGCGCGCTAGACCTTTTTTTTTTCTCTTCTGCCTCTAAATTAATGTCTATTTAACCTGTATAAAATAACACATGCCCACTGTTAAATCTTGACTTAAAGCTTTGATGACTGCAGGAATTCATATTCTTTGGGTCTTTCGGTAAAGTCACGTAGATAGGTTCAAAGAAAATAACAAAATAACAAAAAACTATGACTTTCCGATGGCAACACAAGCGGTTTGCGTGACTTTACCGAAAGACCCAAAGAACATGCCCACCGTTCCTGTGCGGCGTTCCTTGTGATGCGATCGCAATTAGACACAATGTACGTGTACACGTCAGGCCCTTTTGTCAATCCGCTGCTGGATGAGGGGTCCTCCCTACACTGTGCGGGTCGTGAGAGATATTTCACCATACTTCACCACGCCGGTGATTGCGGGCGAGGCTTTGTGGAGACGAGGAGATTATCCGTGCGGGGTGACATAGAAGTAAAGGACAACAGTAGATTGTTTTGTGGCACTGCTATCTACTTCTCACAGTGTAGCTGAGCAGCCCACTTGTTACGCATTGTGGGTACCTGCTTCCAAGCACTATCCAGGCTTAAACCTGCTTAGCTTCCAAGGTCTGATGGGATCGGGTTGCTTTCCGGATGGTTTGGTCAAAGTTGGACATTAATCATTTCTCGGTGCACGATTCTGATGCGTGCGTGTGTGTGTGTGAGTGGGGACAGGCGATTTAAAATAGTACGTACGTACTGCTGTTTATAATAAAATGAACATGACGGTTATCTAGCGTTTTGTAATCTTTTGTGAGTATTTAAGGAGAGTTTAGTTTAAACATTCGATTGTTATTGATTCGAGTGATATTTTTAATCCAGGGTTACAAACCCCACGTGTTGACTCACAACTCCCCAGCAGTTATTGCCATGTTATGTTATTGTAATAATCGCATTTAAACATGCTCAAAACGTATTTCATCCTGCCCATTGTTGGACTTGCAATTGCCTTATTAAGCTTGACGAGGATTAGCCTCCTCTGAAGTTCACATTTTCGTAGTGGATACGCCTATCAGAGAGGGGGCCGTTGAGAGTTATTATGGAGGAGTGGGATTCCTTATCGCTCCGTGAATTCGACAGTTGTAGGGCTCAAGAATTCACCGGATGATAATTGTTTTTTTACCCTTTTATCTGGCAACAAAACTGACACCTTTTTTACAATGAGTCATGTTTGCATTGACCACAATACCTGCGGTCGGAATGCAAACAAAAAACACAACTCTGATAATGTATGCACTGTCCTTGAAGTTGATTGATCCACACCCGAGACAGCTTTTCTTAGAGCCTAGTCTCACGTGGTGTTGGACCAGATGACGCCAAAAGGCGCACCGGATGTAGTTGCCCTTTCACGAGCAGCACAATCGCACCTCGGTTGGCTACGTACAGTGCAAAAGAAGTTCAGCATACGTGCGTACAAGGCTCTCTCACCACCACAACAACAACCGCCATTCGCCACTAAGTGGCGGTGACGTCACCACGACGCTTGTGCCAGGCCGTGTGCACGTTGAGGCCACGTGAAGTGTCGAACGCCCGCTGGCAGGAGGTCACGAGGCAGACCCAGGTGCCACGGGTCGACTGACTGAGATCACCCAGGCCCACGTACACTTTACACAATCGGCAGACATAACCAATGTCAATGATTTAAAGCTTTCGTGACTGCAGGGATTCATATTTTTGGATCTTTCGGTAAAGTCACGTTGAAGGGAAACAATAAAATAATAAAAATTCAACAATAAAATTGTATTGTGTTTTTTTATTATTTCCCTTCTACGTGACTTTACCGAAAGATCCAAAAATATAACCAATATCAGTTTAGACAATGTAAAGGTAGAACCAATAGTGAATTGCCAATCATCAACCCATTTTTTGTTATCCGTGTCACGCCCCCATGAATTGACCTGACATCTTCGTTTTTCGCGCCGTGGTCTCCGATGAAATGTTTTCATTGTCGCAATCGTTTTACCACACTTCTGTTCATTCAATCTTCGGTCTTGTTTTTTATATCTCTGCTATTAAAAGTATTATGTGGTGAGACCACGGTGGTGCTGGGCCACCCACCCCCATCCTGTGCCTTGCCGGCCTTCATAGGTGCCCGCTAACAGCACTTGCCCCAAAAAGTGTGTTAAGGCTATACGGGGGGGGGGGGGGGGGGATCTTGGCTGTGTCTTGTGCAGATTTGTATCACTTTATTGATAACCGGGCACAAGTTTGCGTGTGTTCGGCCAATTCCATTCAGAATCTTAATTTATCTTCTTGGTTCTTTCGGTAAAGTCACGTAGAAGGGAAATAATGAAATAATAAAAATAATCAAATAAAATAATTCTCACGACGTTTCGGCCACAATCCTCAGGTGAAGACTAGGTCTGTCGGGGAGACAGCGTCTGAATGAAACACCACCACGCTTGGAGCGTATATTTAAGCTGGGTTGGAAGGGGGGAAGGGCGCCTTGACAAAATAATTTGCATATCAAGAGGAATTTAGCATATTTATGGGAAATGCAGATATGTGATTAGTACTACTTGTGAAATGCGTAGGAGGTGGGCGGGGGGTTTCAAAGTCATATTATGCCCGTGCATTATGCAGGATTAGCAGCATCAAACGTCGTGAGAATTATTTTATTTTATTATGTTTTATTATTTTTATTATTTTATTATTTCCCTTCTACGTGACTTTACCGAAAGAACCAAGAAGACGAATCCCTGCAGTCACGAAAGCTTTACATCGAAAAATCTTAATTTAGTCTTGATAAATCCGATGAGCTATGAAGCTCTTTTACTTCACAGATGTCCGGTATTGGGCGGGTCACCATTCAACAAACCGACAGTTGAATCTCTACGCCGTCGATTAAAAAAAAAATCCACACTTTTCTTTTCGTCAACCGAAACCAACAACTTTTACGAATAGGACTGTAATTATAATAATTACAAAAATGGTTTTTTTTTTTTATATAAAACAACAAATAGACAAATGAGCGGATACGCAAATAAAACCCGCTGACGGTCGTGGAAAATTCTGACGAGTACCATCGGTGGGATTCTGTCGGTCACTCGGCTCTGCGCGGAGGGAGCGCTCCGTGCGAAGCATCCCATCGACTAATTGACCTCCTCCTCCTTCCCTCCTCCTCGCTTCAAGTGATGGGTTCTCACCTGAGACTTGATTGATGCGCGCGGGGAGACGAGAGCGCGCATATATAAACCCCCCTCTCATCGCAACGTTGCTCGCCGCCGAGGACTCCGAACAAAAGACGCAAACTCAAGATCGCCCGTCAACGGAGGCGAGATTTTTTGGAGGGGCGAGTCAGCTCATCTCTCTTGCGAGAGACACCTCGACTCTCGGATGCCGTGAGGTGAGCGGGTAAGAAAATGAAAATAAACACCCGAGCCAACAACGGTTGCGTGCGACTGAAACCCTTCGCATGCATCCGCAAGCGGAGATGTCCACAAAATGTGTCGGCGGCGGTGATGCTGCTGCTGTCGCGATGGAGATTGGTGCACAAGCACAACTAACAATAACAACAACAGCAAACTCAACACGCTCGTCAATAACAACACCGCGGCGGCATTAAGAAAAGGGAACAATATAATAGGCGACGGTTCGGGCAATGACCCTTCCTCACAAGCACACACATAGAGAGGGTAAGGCTATAGATGATAATTGGAGAGTGCTCTCAATAATATCATCCCCAACTTTCATCCAACTCCACCATCTCTGGCCTCTCTCTCTATGCGCGCGTGCGTGCGTGCGCGTGTGTGCTGTGGAAAGAGGGCCGTTGCCCGAAACGTCGCCGCCGTCGACGAATGGCGTTGGGGGTTTTCCCCGGGCGAGTGCGCGACGCGTCTCTCTGCGTGGTGGCACCGTGGCCGTTCACGATTTTACAATCACTGCAATGCAACGCTGGTAACGATTCGACTTGAACGATTTAACGTGATCGTTTAAGCTGGCGGCGGCGGGGGGGGAGCAAGCTTGAGCGGTGGTTCTCGCGCTGACGTCTCGAACCTGAGTTCGATTCCCTGCCATGACGACTGCGAACCTCGGTAGCTGCAGAGTGACAAATTGCTGCACGCACAAGAGTGGTGAAGTATGGTCAGGCACATACGAGCCCATCAACGACGCAGCGTTAGAGGGTGAGGGGGCGAGGGGGGGGAGGTGTTCATCCAGCAGTGGATTATTTGGCAATGGGCTAAACATGAATTACTAAATGCAATTGAGTTTCAAAGCGCGCTTTGACTTTTACTGCTTTTTGTAAAGACTTCAACGAGCGGTGAAGTTCCGTGTGAATCTGATACAACGCTCTCCACTCGACCATCTCGCTTTCAACACACGCATTGTTCAACATGTATGCCCCGCACACTATATAATAATAGTTCAATTTGTAACGCGCGCAAACTTGCAGACGTAGTGGCCGCAACTCAGAGGCGCGGAGCCAAGCTCAGAGTCGCTCGAAAGCATGATTGTAGAGGTGAGTTTTTAAGTTTCTCTTGAAGGAGGCGATTGAGGTGATGCTGCGAATGTGCAGAGGGGTGATATCGTTCCAGACTTTTGGGGCTGCCACCGAGAAGCGGCGCATAGACACGATGACCATCCTGGATCTTGGTATCAAGAGGAGGTCGTGAGTGGCGCTGCGCAGGAATCTGCCGTGTGCCGAGCTGCAAGTTGTCAAAAATGAAATATATGATTCAACATGTATGCACATTGACTATGTGTTGTTCAACACGTATGGAGTGTAGAGCCCTTTTTAAATCCTTTATATTAAGTTCGCGTGCTTGCTTGCTTGCTTAGGACCGTGCAAATCTTTCAGTCGTTTTTTAACCCACTTCCCGTGATCCAATCGAGCTGACATTTTCCACACAGACTCGTTGTGCCAGACAATTATTGTTCGTGAAAAAAAATTCCCAAAATTTTACACTTTTTAGGCAAAAAAATGTTATTTTACATATATTCAAATAGAACTAATTCATGGCTTTGGCTGAACGTCAGAGTGTAAGAGCCCAGAGCGTAACCCCTCCACAGGCCGTGGTGGAGTAGCGCAGTTGGTAGCGCCCTCGCTTACCATGCCAAAGGTCGCGGGATCGATCCCCGCGTCCTCCACAGGCGAATATATTTTTAAATCCTTTATATTAAGTTCGCTGCCACGCATATAAAGGATTTATAGTGAAAAACTTTGTTTTTACGGGTTATACTTTTTGTCTATACACTGCTGGATGAAGGCTTCTCGCACGCCGTGCGCTCCTGGAGGGTTATTTTAGACCTTACATTGATTATTCCGCATTCCGTGTGATCTACACACACACACATATATAGCACACATATGTCAAACAACATGAGTCTATCTAAAATGCATGCGTGGCATCATACTGGTGTTGTTGTGTTTTAGAAGCCAATTGTGACCCTTTAACATTTCAGTTCTTACCGCATTATTATGATTCTAAGGCGCATCTTTAACCCCGCCTGTATTTGAAAGAAAATCTTCGCAGTGCATCTTATAATCCAGTAGCTGTGTTGTGTGTGTGGGGGGGGGGGGGGAGTGGTGGCGCAGTGGTTAGCGCGTTGCGCTACGAACCCGGCAACCCGACGTCCAACACCATGCAGCCATCTGAACCCGGTCTTGGGTCTTTTCTAGGTCACCGCAAACGTCAGCATTGGAGAGACAAAGGCGGCCGGGCGTGGTCGCTGGCCACTCACACCCCCTCGTGTGCGTGCCGGCCTTTGTAGGTGCTGCTATTCGCTAACGGCACTTGCCCCCCCCCCCAACAGTCTGCGTGAGACCAGATTCATGTAACTTTATTGAAGTGCACGTCGTACAATCCGGAGAATACCATCAAGTGTGTTGCGTTTTTATTAGCCAACACACAATCTTACACGCGCCCTTAGACGTAAGCAACTGCTACAATGGTGCATCTGTTATCTTGTGACCGGTTGAACACGTGTTAAGTGAAAACTCGAATCAAAACGAGAAGGGTGCACGACTCCAATTTCAACAAATCTACAACCACAACAAGAATCGACATTTTCATCATCATCATCAGCAGCAGCAAGTATTATCGATCCACTCCTTGATGAAGGTCTCTTCCAAGCCGTCGCGCCATCGCCTATCACCATACCAGTAATGTGGCATCACAGCATACCGGCGGCTGACTCCATCGCTCCATCTCCACGCTTACTTTCATCAACAGGAAGACGTTCGTATTTCATCTGTGTCATGTCCTCTGATGCCCTTCGATCCGCGTGTTCCTCTCTCTTTCTCTACCCACGCACATTTGCGCACTTTCCAGCATTGTTCCATCCCCATTCGCGAGTGTGTCCACGCCTCTGATCCGTATGCCATAGTACGTCGTCCTAACTGTGACATGTTAGCGTGCACGTTGTCAATGCGGGGGAATTCTATTTTAATCTGAAATCCAATTTGATCCCAATTGTTGTGTGTTGAACTTATTTCGCACCGTGCGTAGCCGACCGCGCCGATCGGAGATGCGGGGGAAGGACAACGCACGGAACACAAAAAGCAGTTTGAGACAAATGAGTTTTCAATCTATATACGAAAGTGCAATGGCTCCAGTGGCTTCCGAACATCGGAAGGAAGAGCGTTCCCGAAAGCGCGCGATGCGGTGACCGCCACCTTTGTTCGATGGCTTAGCAGACAGAAGCCGCAGGTGGCAAGGATGATCGGAGGTCGCGTGATGGGTTATGTTCCTTGACGAGATCATTCAATTTCGATGTAAAGCTTTCGTGACTGCAGGGATTCATATTCTTGGTTCTTTCGGTAAAGTCACGTAGAAAGAAATGAATAAAATAATAAAAATAAAACATAATAAAATAATTCTCACGACGTTTCGGCCACAACGCAAGTAGCCGTCTTCAGGTGTCTTCTTGACAGAATCTGTCTCCTTGACAGACCTGTTCTTCACTTGAAGACGGCTGCTTGCGTTGTGGCCGAATCGTCGTGAGAATTATTTTATTATGTTTTATTTTTATTATTTTATTAATTTCTTTCTACGTGACTTCACCGAAAGAACCAAGAAGAGACCATTCAAGGTAAACGTGTTTTCTTGACTCGCGATAAATATAGATACATTTAAGTCATACTAAATGAAATAAGAACTTTGCGGTCAAACACGGAGATGGGGACGCACGCTTGGAATGGCACTGAGAGACAGATAGATGAGCACGAGGATTAGAGAACACGCGCGCGGTTTAAAGACCACAATTAAACTGGCAATAAAAAGTGAGCGAGGCTTGGGAAAAGGACGCGTCGCGGCAATAACCGGCGATTGCCAAAGTAAAATGAAGGAATAAAATAAATTTAATTTTATTTTATACCTACGTGACTTTACCGAAAGAACCAAAGGGTATGGCTCCCTTATTGGAGAGTATATTTAGTATATTGATGATACTGATGTAGTTTATATTTTAGTTTATTACGTGGTGGTTTGGCTGCTGCAGCTCCTTACTATTAAATTCCTTCCCTTTATTAATGCTAACCCTACTCCCTCCCTTTGATGCTGCTAATCCTGCATAATGCACGGGCATAATATGACTTTGAAACCCTCCCCCCCCACCTCCTACGCATTCCACAAGTAGTGACTAATCCCATATCTGCATTTCCCATAAATATGCTAAATTCCTCTTGATATGCAAATTCCTTTGTCAAGGCGCCCTTCTCCCTCCTACCCAGCTTAAATAGACGCTGCCAAAATTGGTGGTGCTCATTCAGACGCTGTCTTTCCGACAGACCTGTTCTTCACCTGAGGACGGCTGCTTGCGTTGTGGCCGAAACGTCGTGAGAATTGCATTTTATTATGTTTTATTTTTATTATTTTATTATTTCCCTTCTACGTGACTTTACCGAAAGAACCAAGAAGATGAATCCCTGCAGTCACGAAAGCTTTAAATCGAAATCTAAATTATAATTAAGGAGTAGCAGCCAAGGAATAATGGAACGCTTCCGAAAGCACGTCCGCCGAGTAGATGGAACGATGAATGCATCTCGCGTGCAGCAGTTAGATTGATTGCTGCGTCGCACGATTGCGAGAGATATCGGCCGTGAGCGCAGCCTGTCATCCAGCAGTTGATTGAACATGGCGGGTGATGATATTTGCTGGACTCGGTAAGTATTGCTTATCCTTTCCGTAGACACGCTCTTGCTGCGATAACGTGGAATTTCCACCACTGACTGGTTCATGCCCGCCATAAGAGATGAACGCCGCCAGATTGCTCGTTCGGGGAGATATTTTGCGAATGGTGGAGTCGTGGCGCAGGAGTTGGCGCACCGCAGTTCGATTCCGAGCCACGGCTGACATCAGTGACGAGTGATATTTTGTACCCGTCTTGGGCACTTTCTCCAACCAAACAGCGCTGACCAGTACGGTAAAGTATGGTCAAACAGCCCCCATCATCGACAGTGAATGAAACACAGATCTCCGGGTTCGTAGCTTAGTGAGTCAACCACTGCGCCACCGCTCTTCCTCCTCCTCCTCTCCCGCACACGCAGTGTCAATCGTAAATTCATAATTTAGAAAATGAAATAATTAATTATTAATTGTTCGTAATATTTCATAATAATAATGATAATTATTGTAAAATCATGTCCAGCTTCTTATCAATCCACTGCTGTATTCAGATCTTTTCACATGCACGGTGCAGTCCGTGGAGATCTTTGACCATACTTCACCACGCTCGTCAGCGCGGGCCAGCGAAACGGGGAAGCGCCCAAGGAGTGGCCGGTGCGCTAACCACGGCGCCACCGCTCCTCCACCGCAAATTGAAACAAGTTGGCGTGTATATGCAAACACATTCACGCTAATTCTTGGGTCTTTCGGTAAAGTCACTTAGGTAGGTTCAAAGGAAATAACGTGACTTTACCGAAATAATATGAATTCCTGCAGTCACGAAAGCTTTAAGGCAACATTCATGATTCATATAGATGACTTGCGTATGCGTGTGTGCGGGGAGCGGTGGCGCAGTGGTTAGCGCAATGCGCTACATGCCCGGCCACCCATTTTGACCCAGTCCTAAATTGAGTACCTGGTGCAGTATATTAACATCAGCACTGGGAAGACAAAGGCGGTCGGGTGTGGTGCTGGCCTCCCATCCACTCGTGTGCCGTTCCGGACTTCATAGGCGCTAGCGAACAGCACTTGTTCCCCCAGTCTGTCAAGGCTATACAGGGGATTTTTTGTTGTATTTGTGTACACATTCACGTGTGTGTGTGTGTGCGCGTTTGTGTTTCAGAGGCTCACGCACTGCGCCGAACCCTGATTCGACTCCCGGCCCAGCAGCGTTACCAGATAACATCAACCCGTCCCGTGCCTCACCTAGGTCAACTCGGCCTTTAAAAAAAAAATCTCAACATCACAAGCATATCTCGCACTGCAACAACTCCACCCGTTATAAAATACAGACGCACATTTAGTCCGGCATTTTTGTTTTGCCAACCCCCCAAAGCATTATTGACCAGTTACTCCACAAACTCGTCATTCCACGAAATAAAAACACCGTTATCGTCGTCCAACTACCTCTTCCGAGATCGGCAAGTTCGTTCGCGTGCTGCGGCGTCAAGTGTGGGTGCTCGCAACTCTTTCCAAGACGTCTCGACCAGCGTGTGAGCGTCTTTGTAGGTGTCTCTCGAGGGCTTCTCTCCAGAGCTTCTCTCTCTCTCGAGCGGAGGCCCCCTTCCACCAGCTTCGAGCACGCACCCCCTTGATTGTTCCTTCCCACCATGAACCACACGAGCGCACCCTCTGCCCGCAACGCGTGCGTGACCTTCCGTAGCTTCAACTGCACGGGGCCCTCGCTGCCCGAGAACTACCGTGCGCTGCTGCTCGCCATCCTCGCCTTCTTCACCCTGGCCACCATCCTGGGCAACCTGCTCATCATCTCGTCCATCGCCTTCTTCAGGCAGCTGCAGTCGTTCCCCAACGTGCTCGCCCTCTCGCTCGCCATCTCCGACTTCCTCGTCGGGCTCGTCATCATGCCCCTCGCCGTCACCAAGGTCATCTACAACTGCTGGTTCTACGCGCGCCTCTACTGCAACGTGCACTACTTCCTCGACTTCGCCTTCACCAACTGCTCCATCCTGCACCTGTGCAGCATCGCCCTCAACAGGTACGTGGCCATCAGCGACCCCCTGCGCTACGAGTCCCGGGTGACCAGGAGGACACTGGTGGTGATGCTCGTGACCTGCTGGCTGGGCTCCGCTGTCTCCTCGTCACCCATCCTGCTGAGCCTCAGCCCCACCCTCTCGGTGGGCACCATCGAGCGCATCTCGTGCCCCAACGACTGCGTCTTCGACATCAACATTGGCATCATGGTGGTCATCGGATACTGCCCGTACTTCGCATCTCTCGTCGTCATCGTGTGCATCTACGGCAAGATCTACCGCATCGCTCGCGCGCAGGTCATCAAGATACGGGCTCAGCAAGGTGGGGGAGGAGGAGAAGGAAGCCACAGGACCGATAATGACAACGCCGAGGCTCTCGTCAAGTTGAGGACCATGAAACGAGAGCACAGCGCCACCAAGACGTTAGGCGTCATCATCGGCTTCTTCCTTATCTCCTGGCTGCCCTACTATGTGATCGTGCTCGCCTCGCTGGCGCTCACCGACACGCTGTTCGCCTACCGCGTGGCGCTCTGGATCGGCTACATCAGCTCCGCGTTCAACCCCATCCTCTACGCCGCCTTCAATCGGCCCTTCCGAAACGCATTCCGGCTCATGTTTCGCCTCAAAGTGTTCGGCGAAGGTGCCAGGGATACGGATCTTTCCGGTCGGTTGAAGTGACTCGGACAGTACTCTTTGGGTCTTTCGGTAAAGTCACGTAGGTTTAAAAATGAAATGAATGACGACGTTTCGGGCGCAACACAAGCGTCCATCATCAGGTGGTGATGATGGACGGTTTTGACAACGTACGGTGGGAAAGCAAGTTCCGTGTGTTGCCGATTGCACAACGCCATGTGACGTCGTTGCATATATGTTAGGCTGTGTGAAAACTAAATATTATTATAATAAAATTTTGATTGATATACGGGGAGGTCTACACCAGAAATAAATATCCGCTATCCAGGTGGGTTGAGTAAGTCCATCAGCACAGTGGCCTTCCAGACTTGCATCAGCCAGGAGAATTTGCATAAACGACCAAAAAACTTTGGACCGGTTTCGACCTTTGCAGGGCTCATCAGCAAAGTCACGGGTGCCAAACAAACACGATTGGTTTACGAGACTCAACATTGCCAGTAGACTCAGACTCAACACTGCCCATAGATTCAACACTGCCCATATAGACTCAACACTGCCCATAGACTCAACACTGCCCATAGACTCAACACTGTCCATAGACTCACACTGCCCATAGACTCAAGACTGACCCGTAGAATCAACACTGCCCATAGACTCAACACTGCCCATAGACTCAACACTGCCCATAGACTCAACACTGCACCATAGAATCACACTGTCCATAGACTCACACTGCCCATAGACTCAACACTACCCATAGACTCAACACTGCCCATAGAAGGGAAGTAATAAAATAATTAAAATAAAACATAATAAAATAAATAATTCTCACGACGTTTCGGCTACAACGAAGACGGCTGCTTGCGTTGTAGCCGAAACGTCGTGAGAATTATTTTATTTTATTATGTTTTATTTTTATTATTTTATTACTTCCCTTCTACGTGACTTTACCGAAAGAACCAAGAAGATGAATCCCTGCAGTCACGAAAGCTTTAAATCGAAATTTAACTGCCCATAGACTCAACACTGACCCGTAGACTCAACACTGCCCATAGATAATTGGTTCTTTACCCTTCTATCTGGCAACAAAACTGACACCTTTTTGCAAGGAGTCATGTTTGCATAGACCGCAATACCTGCAGTCATAATACAAACAAAAGAACATAACTCTGATAATGTGCACTGTCCTGGACAGTGCACATTATCAGAGTTATGTTCTAATGTGCACTGTCCTGGACAGTGCACATTATCAGAGTTATGTTCTTTTGTTTGTATTATGACTGCAGGTATTGCGGTCTATGCAAACATGACTCCTTGCAAAAAGGTGTCAGTTTTGTTGCCAGATAGAAGGGTAAAGAACCAATTATCATATTTTTACTGGCAAATGAGGTCCCCATAGTGTACTGCCCATAGACTCAACACTGCCCATAGACGCAACACTGCCCATAGATTCAACACTGCCCATAGACTCAACACTGCCCATAGACTCAACACTGCCAGTAGACTCAACACTACCCATAGACTCAACACTGCCCATAGACTCAACACCGCCCATAGACTCAACACTGCCCATAGACTCAACACTGCCCATAGACTCAACACTGCCAGTAGACTCAACACTGCCCATAGACTCAACACTGCCCATAGACTCAACACTGCCCATAGACTCAACACTGCCCATAGAATCAACACTGCCCATAGACTCACACTGCCCATAGACTCAACACTGCCCATAGACTCACACTGCCCATAGACTCACACTGCCCATAGACTCAACACTGACCCGTAGACTCAACACTGCCCATAGATAATTGGTTCTTTACCCTTCTATCTGGCAACAAAACTGACACCTTTTTGCAAGGAGTCATGTTTGCATAGACCGCAATACCTGCAGTCATAATACAAACAAAAGAACATAACTCTGATAATGTGCACTGTCCTGGACAGTGCACATTATCAGAGTTATGTTCTAATGTGCACTGTCCTGGACAGTGCACATTATCAGAGTTATGTTCTTTTGTTTGTATTATGACTGCAGGTATTGCGGTCTATGCAAACATGACTCCTTGCAAAAAGGTGTCAGTTTTGTTGCCAGATAGAAGGGTAAAGAACCAATTATCATATTTTTACTGGCAAATGAGGTCCCCATAGTGTACTGCCCATAGACTCAACACTGCCCATAGACGCAACACTGCCCATAGATTCAACACTGCCCATAGACTCAACACTGCCCATAGACTCAACACTGCCAGTAGACTCAACACTACCCATAGACTCAACACTGCCCATAGACTCAACACCGCCCATAGACTCAACACTGCCCATAGACTCAACACTGCCCATAGACTCAACACTGCCAGTAGACTCAACACTGCCCATAGACTCAACACTGCCCATAGACTCAACACTGCCCATAGACTCAACACTGCCCATAGAATCAACACTGCCCATAGACTCACACTGCCCATAGACTCAACACTGCCCATAGACTCACACTGCCCATAGACTCAACACTGCCCATAGTCTCAACACTGCCCATATAATCAACACTGCCAGTAGACTCAACACTGCCTATAGACTCAACACTGCCCATAGACTCAACACTCCTCATAGACTCAACACTGCCAATATACTCAACACTACCCATAGACTCAACACTGCCCGTAGACTCAACACTGCCCATAGATTCAACACTACCCATCGACTCAACACTGCCCCTCCTTGCCCTCCTTCCGTCCCTCTCCTAAAGCCTTCTCTATTGCCCATCCCCTTCCTCGTCCCTCCCCGTGCCCCACCACTCCTTCCGTCCCTCCCCTGATCCATGGTTATACTCCAACGATGTCCCTGAGATCACCGGATCGCCTTCTTCTAAATGTTCCGAAGGCAACATGTCTCTTGCCGGGGTGATGGGGCTTTTGCCGCTGCTCAGCTCTCCTCTGTTGAGTCACGCAAGCGCGCGTGGGTCTCTCTCTCTCTCTCTGTGAGTCTGTGGGTCTCTACGTCAAGTCCGTGGTGACCGGGCTGAGATAGTCATCGACTCGCTCGAGCAAAATCCAATTTCATCGCGGACGGCTGCCTGGATTCGAACTCAGGTTCTCAACGACGCCAGCTCAGCTCGGCTCTCTCTGACCTCTGCACCAACCTGCCCCGTCTCAACTCACCACGGTCACACTCTGACCTCTTTCCGAGTCGCCACGTGTTTTACACATTGCGAGAATTATTCCTTGGTTCTACGGGTGCGTCTGTAATTCATCCACTGTCTCGCTGTTGATTTGTTTTTTTTTAACAATAAAGCAAATATCAAGTCCTTCACTTCTTGCTTAGGGTTGCATCATTCCGTCTCCTTGAATGACACGATCGAACCATGGACACATTTGATGTCCGCGTCATTCTTATAGCGCAAGACTGTCACGAAGCAAGGTGCTGTGCATTCAACACCGCACTTAGAACTCCAAAATGGTTTAATCCAAAAGGAAAAATATTTAACGGGCGACATTTCTGGCAATGGCTCTTCTTCTTAGTACAATTCATAGTGGTCTTCTAAGTTGTAAAAAATGCCTTTCAAGTCAAAAATATACGGAACTTCTTCTTCAACCATTACAGCTCAATTCAACGTTTATTTGTTACAACGGAAACCCCCAGTTACCCAGCTAGTATTGGTGGCCACCACCTGCAGCGGCCATTAGTCATCCTTGGGGTTGTAGACACGCCCAGACAGCAGCCAGCCAGGAAACCCGAAACATGGAACGTTGTTTAATGGTATTGTTATATAATATACCATATATACTATATACATATTGCGCGAATATCAGCGAAGAGTTGCGGAATGGTGCGTATTTAGACAAGGAAAAAGGAATGAGTGGGGATCGCAGATCATTCACCATTGATCCATCCATCCATCGATCCATCCACCCACACGGATCCATTTACGGCGTTGGTCGTAAGGACAGCAGCCGTGGTAGCGATCTGGCGCCTATGTCGGTGTGGTGTGCGTGTGGTGTGTGCGTGTGGTGTGGTGTGTGTGGTGTGTGGTGTGTGTGGTGTGATGTGTGCGTGTGTGCGTGTGGTGTAGTGTGTGTGGTGTGTGGTGTGGTATGCGTGTGGTGTGGTGTGTGCGTGCGGTGTGATGTGTGCGTGTGGTGTGGCACCTGGTTCAGCCGCGTGACCTCCTGCCAGCGGGCGTTCGACGCCTCACGTGGCCTCAAGGTGCACATGGCCTGGCACAAGCATCGTGGTGACGTCACCGCCACTTAGTGGCGAATGGCGGTTGTTGTTGTGTGGTGTGCGTGTGGTGTGCGTGTGGTGTGCGTGTGGCGTGCGTGTGTGCGCGCGTGTTAGAGCTACGCTACGAACCTGGCGACCCGAGTTCCATTCACGCTCACAGCTAACACCAGCGACGATTATTATCTGAATAGGTTCTGGGCCTCCAACTACGTCGACTCAGCCTCAAATGAGTACCTGGTGCGGTGTGCAGTTAAACATCGCCACTGGGGAGACAATGGCGGTTGGGCGTGGTGCTGACCGCCCACTCCCTCGTGTGCCGTTCCGGCCTTCATAGGTGTTACTCGCTAACCGCACTTGCCCCAACAGTATGTTGCAGGCTACACGGGGAGGGGATCTTTGTTGTTTTGTGTGTGAATGTGTGCACGTCGAGGCGTGTTTTGTATGTGAATGTGTGCATGTCCAGGCGTGTCATGTGTAATGTGAGGATATATCCGGGTTGCTGATGGATCACACCTCGTTACGATGATTGGCTCTGCCGGTCCTGGCCCATAGCCAATGGGGAGAAGTCTAGGGGCGTGGCCCAGACGTAATGGGAAGGTGACAGCTGCAAGTAGATGATTGGTTCTGCTGGCTTTAGCCACAGCCAATGGGGGGACGAGTCAGGGGCGTGGTCCTGGGAGCATACGATGGAGTCGAGAAGATTCCATAGAGGTTAACCAGGATTGGTGGAAAGGTACCACGTGACCCGGGTATTAAAAGGGGTGGAGACGAACAACACGTGGTCAGATCTGGAACGAACGGAGGGTGAGGCCACGCTGGAG